CCCCCCCCCCCGCCCCCTTTGTCAAGCATTTGAGTGGTTGTGTAATGCGGTTTGGTTCGAAAGTTTGGTAGGACTTGCTAACATTCGTAAACTCAAGAATTTCTCCTTTTTTGTCCTCACATGCTTCAAAGTTAGAGCTACAAGGCGCTAAGACATCTGGATGAAAAAAAAAAACTCAGCAAAAATACTGGATTAAAATATCCATAGTCCACTGATTTCTTTCTAAAAGTTTTAGCCAAATGTGTGTGTTTGTGTTGCTGGAGTTTGGTTGAATTCAAATTAGTACCAGAAACCAACAACCACAAGTGCTAGATATCAGCAATTCATTTATTATAAGGGTATTTTTCTTTCATATTCAAAGTGGGAATGACTTAGGAAAAAAAATCAATGTCTTTGAGTGCCCATGTGAGTAAGAATTGTTAGGTTTCTGAATGGGAATTTCTGGGAATAGTTTATCCAATTTATTTTCCTTGTTTTCTTTTTTAATTCATATATGGGAGTGTATTAAAGTTTATGTCCTGCAAATTCTACGAGACCTTTTTCAACACATGTCAAGTAAAAATTCTCTGTAACAGGAAAGCTCTGTGTAATAGTTAAATTCAGTCTTTTTTCTTCAGTAGCACAAGCAATTGATGAAATAGAAAAAATATTTGTTTAGAAAAAATTGGGTGATGTAAAATATCTCATAGAATTGTCACAAGGGATTAAATAAGTTAATATAGGGAATAATTTAAAGTAGGGTCTAGTATTTAGTAAATGAAAAACAAACATCAGTAATTATAAGTGACCCAAGAACAATGATATCATCTTTGGATGAAAATATCATATGAATAATGACACACTCTTTTTTTTTTTTTTTTGACATACTCTTAGGATACAACTTTACCAGTGCTCTCTAGCTGTCAAGATGAAGCCATTCTTTTCTACTTACATTACAGTCACATTTGAAGAAACTGATGGAACAGACCGTAAATTGGTTTCGTCACAGTCAAGCTCCAGACCTTGGCAAAAACATTGCGCAGGCAGAGAACCCAGCACTGAGCAAGGGGAGGTGGCAAGGCGCGATCACAGCGACGGGCCAGGAAGGAGGGTCATGAAAAGGGGAAGAAGAAAAAACAGAAACACTATGAGAAAATCATTTAGCACAAAAGCAGACCATGTCTTTCCTAAGCAATTTGGGTAATGCTTTAAATTAAGGTTCCAAAGTTTGTTTTAAATGTTGTCTTAAAATAATGCTACATCATTAACATTTGGAAACATACACATTTGCCAGCCCATGCATTTTTTTAAAATAGCAAACTGTTCTCCATTTGTCGCAAAATGAATGAAATCATCTGCTCTTAAATCACCAAGAGGTAAACTGATAGTGAATAATAAGGGTTAATGTTTATGTTAGAATTGCCGTTTAAGAATTTCTTTTTTGGGGGGTGCCTGTGGCTCAAGAGAGTAGGGCACTGGCCTCATATGCTGGAGGTGGCGGGTTCAAACCCAGCCCTGGTCAAAAACTGAAAAAAAAAAAGAATTTTTTTTTGAGACAGAATCTCACTTTGCCACCCCTGCTAGAGTGCTGTGGCATCATAGCTTTTAGCAACCTCAGACTCTTGGGTCCAAGCTATTCTATTGCTGCTGCCTCCTGAGTGGCTGGGACTGCAGGTGCCCCATAACACCCAGCATTTTTTTTTCCTTATTGTTGACAGGCTATTTTTTTTTTTTTTTTAGAGACGGGGTCTCACACTAGCTCAGGTATGAGCTCAGGCGATCTGCCTACCTCTGCCTCCCAGAGTGTTGGCTGGGATTACAGATGTGAGCCACTGTAGCTAGGCAAAGAATTAAGTTTTTTTTTTTTTTAGACGGACCCTCAAGCTATCCCCCTGGGTAGAGTGCCATGGCATCACAGCTCACAGCAACCTCCAACTCCTGGGCTCAAGCGAGTCTCCTGCCTCAGCCTCCCAAGTAGCTGGAACCACAGGCGCCTGCCACAACGCCTGGCCATTTTTTGGTTGCAGCCATCATTGTTGTTTGGCGGGCCCAGGCTGGGAAAGAATTAAGTATTAATTAACATTTAGCATAATCAGAACCTTTAAAGGATGACTAAGTCATGTTTTAAAATTTCAAAATATTAAGGGGCTATACATCATTTTTAACTAGCAAGAAAGAGGTGATAGTGTTGATAGGAAATTTTTGAGGAAAATTCTGGAGTTCATCAAAGGACTTGTGTATTTTATTTTAGGTAAAAGGGTTTCTCTTTGTTGCTTAGGTTTGAGTGCTTTCGAGTTATCATAGTTCCTTATAACCTCAACTCCTGAGCTCAAGTTATCACACTGACTTAGACCCCCAGGTAGCTGGGACTACGGAGCACCACCATGCCTGGATTAATTTTAAAAGGTTTTTGTGGAGATGGGTGGTCTCCAATTCCTGGCTGTAAACCATCCTCTTGCCTTACCTCCCAAAGTCCTGGGATTATAGGTATGAGCCACTACATCTTGCCAAGATTTTTACAAATTATCTTTCGTTGGATTATGTATGAACGAAGGATGTCCAACTTCATTTATGGGAGTGAACTTTTTTTCTGCACAGCATTCTATTTTTGGTGATGTTGGAAAGAAGGGAAGAACGAGATGTGCGTCTTTGGCCATCTTGTGGGGCTGCAGCAATAATCTTAAGGATGGGGTTCAATATATATAAAGTCTACAAGAGACTTGCACTGATGTGTTCTTATAGCTCAACAGTATACTGAGACGACTATTCGGTATAATACATATAGTCTGATTTCTTCCTTGATGAGGAAGGAACAATTACTGAGAACAATGAGAAATGGTTCCCTTCCTCATTTACTTCTGGAGCTGGAAACTATAGAGCAGGGGTTACAGACCCAAATGTAAACGTGGACTGCATTCAGATGGCCGAGGGGAGCAGTTTCCTCTAACTGTGGCATGTTAGAACAGGAACATATGCCCTCTTCCAGCTTCCTCAAAGAAACCAGAGATACAATGTTTCATATAAGATTACCTATTTAAAAATAGTAATAGCAAACTGAAAACATTGTAAAACATCACTGGAGAAGCAGAATTGTTGATGAGAATTTTGGGCTTGCAGGCTTACAGTTCCCAACCTTTCTAGTAAAGCTTCCAGACAGTGGGCAAGTGTCTCTATGAGCACAGCTGGCCACAGCCTTTGCTCAGATTTGGTGACATGAATTCCTCCTCTCTTACCAAACTAATCTACAGACTCCTTCACAGAGATCAAGATCATGACTTAGATTTAAACAGAGTACCTGCCAAGAACTTTTAAACAGCTTTATAGTTTTAAGTACCTATTTTGGCTATGGATCTCTGAAAGTTGATTCTATCTCTTTTAGCTAAAGTCATACCTACTGTGTAAGCATAGGTTTATGGCATGGAGATCGGGAGAGTAGAGGTTAGGAAGAAGATAACGGTCCCCCAAATGAGAAAATAGCATGGGCCCAAACAGAGGGCAGTGAAATTAACATCAATTCCAGCATGGTTTTATAATATATTATATATATATTGAATTGAGACAATCCATATATGTTAATTACAGGGTTATCTGTAATAGGAGCCCCCCACACACAAATATCCAACAGCCAAGGAATGATTAAATAAATTATGGCACCTAAAAAATATAATATTACATAATATTATATATATTTTTAAAAATCTTGTAGTAACATGGATTCCCGATTATGCTAAATGTTAATTGAAAATTCGTTAAAATTGGTTTATACAGGAAACAAATATATTAAAATAAATAATATAAGGAATGCACCAGCAAGTTAATTATGGTAGCCTTAGAGTGGTTGAATTAATAATTCTTTCCAAATCTCTACGTTTTCCAAATCTTTCACATTTAAACTTTGTTAATACATTGGTTAATCATAGATGCTATATTTTCAATGATATTGTGGAAATGTGACTTTAAAAATGTGAATTCCTCGCATTCTTTCATCTAGTCAAAAAATGACATAAACTATTCATAACTTGATTTCCAATAAATCTTTCTAATAATCTGATTTAAATAATCTGATCCAGACACTAGGAACTTTAACTTCAGCTTTACCCTCAGATTTTATACACTTGATATTCCATTTTTACACTGCTGTCAAGTCTGAAAAAGATATCTAATTATTAGTTGAGAGTCTCCAAACTGTCTTGAAGGAAAAAAATTATGTATTTGTTCTTTGCTAAGTACTGATGAAAATAGCACTTCTGTATTTTTTTTTGTACATCATTTATTTCATCACTCCATTCCTTTCCTGTAATTACACTTGTGACAAATTTCTTTCAGAGTACAAGATCAAAATTTATTTCTCTTGCTGTTTTAATCCTTTTTCCTCCCGTTTGTTTCTTTTTGCTGGGCCAACCAGACTGTGAAAGTTACGTAACTCATTCTTTTCCCTCTCTGACCTAACAGCTACCAAATTCAGAACCAAGAGAGGATCTTCTCACATAATTTATCCTGTCATTGGCCTTTCTACCACTTCCCTTTTGTCTTAAAGTTTTTTGTCATTCCTCTTTCTACCACTTAATCTGCTGCCACTTAATTTGTGTCTTTCTTATGTCAGTGGTTGAAGGCTGTTAGTAGCTATATTTTAATTGCAAGTTGCTAAAAAGCCTTTCGGGAATAAGGTGAGAGATAAAAAGATTTACTTAATTAATTTATTTAAATTAAGAAATAGATTAAATTTATTTAACTCAAGAAATGAAGAGAAAATAATATACAATAAAAGAAAAAACTATATTTTGAGATAGTGAGGCTTAATTCATTCTTTTATTATATGACAAATTAGGCTCGGTGCCTGTGGCTCAAGTGGCTAAGGCATCAGCCACGTACACCTAATGTGGCGGGTTCGAATCCAGCCCGGGCCCGCCAAACAACAATAATGGCTGCAACCAAAAAAATAGCCGGGAGGCGTTGTGGCGGGCGCCTGTGGTCCCAGCTACTTGGGAGGCTGAGGCAGGAGACTCGCTTGAGCCCAGGAGTTGGAGGTTGCTGTGAGCAGTGAAGCCATGGCACTCTACCCAGGGGGACAGCTTGAGGCTCTGTCTCAAAAAAAAAAAAAAAAAGAAATTAAATATACCTTTTAACTATTTCCTTTCCCAGAAGTTGTCAGCTTTCTTAATGATCAAATTATTAATATTTGGTCTCCATCCTCTGTGAGGCAGGTGAGATGCTGAGAAAGATGGCTGAGTGACCTGCCCAATGTATGCACCTTTAAATTGAGGATTGTTAGGATTTTTTAAATTAATCTCATCTGAGCAGTGAAAACAAAAGTTAAACATTAAAAGCTAGGCTTTATAATTTGTGGTAGAACATAAAAGAAAAAAAGTGAAGTAAAGGATCCTTTCAACCTTTTTAACCAAGATTTTGAAAAGCTAGGGTCAAAATTATAGCTTCAAAACACAGACTTAACATTTGCATAATCTGCTAGGATAACCATGATTTATTTAAAAGGAGTTATTTTCATAGATCTTCCTCATCTAAAATATTACAGAGTTAATCATTGTCTTTCATCCCCCCTTACAAAAACTTACTTTTTGTAAGTTTTCAGTGTATCATGAAACCTACCAGGTCTTAACTGATAAGGCTTTTGTAGCTCTAAAATATAGCTTAGACTCCAGAAGATTTTTTGTTTGCAAACATTAAAATTCAAACATTAAAATACTTTACAGCAGAATTTATAGTGATTGTGAATCCATGTAACACAGCACCCTGACTGATTCACATTAGTTTTATTCACAATACTTGACATGATTTATTACTTTTACACTTAAGATCTCTGAGTCATTTTAACATAAAATTATCCAGTTAAGATTACATGTCTAGTAGAGTTTACAACCAGAAAACTATAATTAACATTTTTTTTTTTTTTATGTTGGATCCAACCTTTAAAAACATGGTGTCTTCTTATGAACTCACAGAGAAAGAGATGACCTGATACTTACAGCATTCAGATGTTTCTGCCCCAAAGGGATTTGGGGATGTCATTTTGTAGTAACTGGCAAAGTACTTGTCAAGTTGCAGAGACCATCCATTGTTGTCTACTAAAATAAAAATCAGAGAGCAAAAATGTTCAAGAAAACAGAAATATTATGATACATTGGGGAAGAAAATAGGTCCTTTCTTTAAAATAAACCACTGAGACTCATACATAATGAGATTAGCATTATCTGGGAATTTGCTACGAATATGAATTTCTGGGCCCCCAGTTGGAGATTTTGATTTCATAAGTCTGAGATGTCCCCCAGTTTCTGTTAAAAAAAGTTTCACTTTTTACTTATTATGAGTACATAAAAGTTGTACATATTTATCGGGTACATGTGATGTGTTTTTTTCTTCATGTTTTAATTTATTTTTATTTTTTATTGTTTGGGATTCATTGAGGGTACAAAGAATTAGGTTACACTGATTGCGGTTATTAGGTAAAGTCCCTCTTATAATTGTGTTTGGCCCTCAACCGATGTGCCATACACTGTGACCCCCCATCTCCCTCTCTCCTCCCTTGTCCCTGATCCCTCATTCTCCTACCCCGCCCCCTGCATTAGATCATCAACTGCCTTCGTATTAGAATTGAGTACGTTGGATTCTTGCTTCTCCATTCTTGTGATGCTTTACAAAGAAGAATGTGTTCCACGTCTATCCAGGTTAATGCAAAAGATGTAAAGTTCTCATCTCTTTTAATGGCTGAATAGTATTCCATGGCACACATACACCACAGCTTGTTAATCCACTCCTTGGTTGCTGGGCATTTAGGCTGTTTCCATGTTTTGGCAATTGTAAATTGAGCTGTGATAAACAGTCCAGTGCAGATGTCCTTAAGATAAAAGGATTTTTTTTTCCTTCCGGGTAGATGCCCAGTAATAGGATTGCAGGATCAAATGGGAGGTCTAATTTGAGTTCTGTGAGGATTCTACATACTTCCTTCCAAAAAGGTTGTTATTAGTTTGTAGTTCCACCAGGTTTGTAAAAGTGTTCCCTTTTCGCCACATCCACACCAGGATCTGCAGCTTTGAGACTTTGTCATGTAGGCCATTCTCACTGGGGTTCGGTTATATCTCAGGGGTGGTTTTGAGTTGTATTTCTCTGACAATCAGGGATGATGAGCATTTTTTCAAATGTTTATGAGCCATTCATCTGTCTTCAACAAAAAACGTTCTGTTCATATCTCTTGCCCAGAAGTAGATGGGATTGTTTACTCTTTTTCTGTTCATTAATTTGAGTTCTCTGTAGATTCTAGTTATCAACTGTTTATCAGATTGATATTCTATGTGTGATATTTTGATACAGGTGTACTCTGTATAATAATCAAATCAGGGTGACACCACCTCAAGTATTTATCATTTCTTTGTGTTAGGAACATTTAAATTCTACTCTCTTAGTTATTTTAAAGTATACCAGATTTTTAATAAGCACCATAGACGTTTCTGCACTAAGTAGTATTTAGAGCACATTTTAAGAAGCAGTATTTCAGACATACAAAAAGGTTGCACACTGTTTTTAGCATTTTAATTATGTTTCCCTAAATCTTCTCCAATCGTTAAAACTAGTGTTGAAGATGTATAAACATGGATAGATGGTCGTGATAATTAAATTTAAGAAGAAAGAAAACATGACTAGCATGATCTCATTTCTTTTATTTTCTATTACTTCTTTTTTTTAGACATCATAGTATTCAATGTGATTATTCTCTGGGTGGTTACATATTTTCTTATCTATATTTTTTTGATTCTTACATTAAACTTTTATATCATTAAAAAAAAAGCAGACCAAAATTATAAGTCTCCACTGGGGGGGCTGAAGGAAACGTTCTCTCACTAACTTTCTCACGATCTTTCGGTTATGTTTGAATATTAGAGATGATGAAGGCAGCGCTGTGTGGGAAGGGACTAAGGAGTTGGGATGAAGGAGTGTGGCTTCTCTCGAGATCTTTGCAGATGGTACAAGCTTCATCCCCTTGAGGGGAGTTTGAATGTGATCCCATGCAGAGCTTCTAAATTATTTCCCAAATGATGTAAAGACTGCTTGAGGATGCCCAAGCTTATAAACAGAAAGAGGAATTATAAAAATTTGTCCTAGTTCCGTAAGTTGGTATTAAATCTAGCCTGCCCTTTATAAAATGTTGTAGGTAGGACAGTCTTTGGGATAGGCTTGGACAGAGCCAGTTCTCCCCCATTTCTTGCTGTGGTTCTCAAAGATAATGTAAATATTCTGGGAATTCAACATAGTGAGACGAGGAAGAACTACCTGAAACTGCCCAGGTCTTATTCCTATCCCTTGGAGGGAAGGTAGCATTGGGGAGGAACTTTCTCTGGAAGCAGGATGTCCTTCAAAGATTTCCCAGTGAGTCACATTGCCCCTGAGGTACGTAACCCAGGCACCCGTCTTTTAAGGTCTCTCAGCCCCAGTGCTAGTGGGGCACATGCAGTCAAGACTCCATCTGCCCTGGGAAACTTTCTTGAGTCTTGGCAGAGCAGCTTACAGTGGCTCCCAGGCTGCTTTTGTCCCTTGCCTCTCTGTAGGTAGTTAACATGCTTCATGCGACTTGTTTCCTGTGAGTGTGGTCTGTCTCTCTCTGGACTAGATAAGTTGGAAAAAAGTACCCTGTGAACATGACTCACCCCATCTATGCATAGTCTGTATCTCAGGCTTCATTTCAGATATTACAACATTGCTTAGCTGCATGGAGTTTGTAAAACTGATTTCATCATACCCAGAGTTTCCACCCCGAGTGCTGGACTTTCAGACTACGTCTCCAGACACCACATTTTCTGTTGTGTAATATGTACTCAATTTGCCACAAGCACCTCAAACTCAATGTTGCCAAAATGAGACTCCTTGTCTTTTCCTGTATACACTTGTTACTCTCCAAATTCTCTGTATTTATGAAAAATCCACAGATCTATCAAACTGCCCCATACAGAAAGGGTAAAGTTGATTGGATGCAGCTCAGACCTGATTAAGTGTAACTTGAATGATTTTCCTTTTCTCGAGGCTATTCTTAGTTTTTCCATTGCCTATTAACTGCTCCCTAAAAATTATGTTTCAGAGTGGAAAGTTATTTTTACACAAATGCTATCTATACTTGTAAAATTAGACATCTTTTTAGAAGTCCCAGTAAAAGTAAAAAATTGGCAAGAAGACATTATTTAAATACTGTATTTGTAATCTTTTCTTTATTTAGCATTCCTCATTAATTATAAAATTTCTCTATTACAGAAGTCTTTGAAATAACAGAAATGGCAAAGTGGCATGATGTTATCTTGATTCGGAGGGAGAGAACTGATACGCCTCAGGTTTACCAACCGCAGACTAGAGTGCAGGACTCCAGTAACTAGGGGGCAAGGATCAACACGCTAGGAACCAGCAAGTACCAGCCATCGAACATCCAGAAACTAGTTCAAGGTGATTGCGAGGCTCCTAACACCTCGATGGTATCTGAGGTAGAGGAATAAGAGGCCGAGAGGAGCTGGTTGTGGTGGCTCACGCTTGTAATCCTAGCATTCTGGGAGGCCAGGGCAAGCAGATGGTTTGAGCCCAGAGATTGAGAACTCAGCCAGCTCAGAAGTGTGAGACCAGCCTGAGCAAGAGTGAGACCTTGTCTCTACTAAAACTAGAAAAACTAACTGGGTGTTGTGGCTGGCACCTGTGGTTCCAGCTACCTGGGAGGCTGAGACAAGAGGATCACTTGAACCCAGGAGTTTGAGGTTGCTGTGAGCTGTGACATCACCACATTCTACTCAGGACAACAGAGTGAGACTCTGTCTCAAAAAAAAAAAAAAAAAAAAAAAGCCAAGACAGACATTTGAAAGACCAAGCGTATATGTGTACAGCAAACAGAGACAATAAATTCTGAGACTATGGTGGGTTTCTGAACAAATGTTCTTCCTCCAGTCTATCCTCAGCTTAGATTGCTTTCTTGTTTTTCAGAAGTTGGTAGCTTAAATGTATGCTTTCCTGACCCCATGTAGGTACTTGTAATAGATAAGCTTCTACCAATTGGACACACGCATGTCAGACCTGAAGTTTGTGAACCCCAGTCTGAAGGGTACTGAGTGGAATTCCGGGAGGTTAAGCAGCCACCCTCAGAGTCCTGGCTTAACCCTCAGAGTCCTGGCTTGAGCCTCAGAGTCCCGCCCTGCTTGCTGAGTGCAAACAGATGATTAGCAGCAGCAGCAGTGGCAGCAGCAAATGCTTCTTGGTCTTGCTCCGGCAAGTATGGGTGGTACATTCTGCACCTCTGACTTCCATTTTTATAACCTTTAAAATGATTCTGTAAACTCATTCTTCCCTGTATGAAATATCTTTTGTTGTTAACCCCCTTGCCCCAAGTATCTAGAGTGGTTTCTGTTTCCTTTTTCCAGAGGGGGGCTGCAGATAACAGCCTCTCAAGGATAGAAACATTGGATTGCTTATCTGAGCTGGTTGATTTAGAAGATGATGACAATCTTGTTCCAATAAGAAAATGGGACTCTCATAACTTAAGGCGTACAGTGACACAAAAAGTCACTAAATCATCACTATGGCTGCCTGGAATAATATGCTTCTTAGAAGGCTAAACTCCAGCAAATGGTTGCTAGGATAAATCATTAGAATGAAAAAGAGAAATTTCAAGGGTTGTGAAGTGGGATGGCCCAGGAAATAGCTCTGGAGAGAATAAAAAGACAAGCTCAGAGTTTTACAGGATCAGCTCCTGGAAGCTCAGAGCTTTCTGTGACTACACTAAAATAATCTTTTATCTCTTGTCACTGATTTGCAAAGAGGGGGACCCTGTGAGTTGTACTGTATGTGTGTGCAGTTAAATTTGAGGACCCCAAGTCCCCGCCTCCCTGAACCTCCCTGGCCAGCAGAATCAGCTCCCTTTTCCTGTCTGATGCGGTTCCCTGTGGTTTGAAGATGTGCTGGTTACCTGACTCTGTAAATAAGCTGTCAGCTCTCCTCAGGCCCTCTCATTGCCGTGTTTCTTTGCTTTCTGACCTTTTATAACTAGAATCAGACCCCAGCACCCCTCAGCATGCCTCTTCGAAAGAAAAAATTGGCACACAAA